TTTTTGGTACTCTTTGGCACACTCAAAGGGCATTTCTACTGACCATGCTGCAAAGCCTTATTCTTCTTATTTGTGGCTTCAGCATCTTCACCCTACTGAATTCAGCCTGGTCTCATTAGCCCTCAGCTAAAGCTTTACAGTGTGAGTCTATGACAATAAGTGACCTCTAAAGAGAAAGGACAGAAAGGAGATGGCTAATTTTAAGAGCCATGGAAAATGTCATACATAGAAAGGCATGCTGGGAATGCATGGCATAAAGGAGAGGGATAAGCAAAGAACAGAATGAAATTGGGTAGAAGAATATTAACTGGGGAAATCCAAACCAGAATCTCATATTCATAACACATTGAAGTAATATCTGGTCTGGGAATGTTATCTAAGGCATTGAAGCTGAAGGGAGTCAGAGCTTAGCAGATTTACCAGCAGCAGTTCTTGTGTGAGATGGGATGCTCAGTTCTAATATCCAAAAGGTACTTTTGAATTGGAACCAGGGATGTTGGAAGCACAGTCCAACTCTGGGGAGATGAGGCTGATAGGAATTGGTTAAGGGTGCTACATACCTAGGTAATTATGGCTAAGCTCTAGACCTAACAGAGAAGTAGAGCAAAACCCAGAAAGAAGTGTGAAAAGTGGTCCACATGTGATAGGGATGAGTAGAGAGGCTGAAACTTGCTGCTTACACAGGTTCCAAGGGTCTTGGTACTACCAGGGAAACTGTGTCCATAGTCTGTCATGAATGGGATGAGAGCTCCTTGAATATGACCACAACCTGATGCCACTGGCTTGGCCCCACTGGAGCTGAGCCTGGGCTATCCAGTTATTGTTTGTTGGCAGCTATGGAGAGGCTAAAGCTGACAAGGATTTAAAGAGAGCTGGGAGGGCGTCTGGGTGGCTCAGTTGGTTAAGCATCTGCCTTCAGCTCAGGTCACGATCCCAGGGTCCTGGGATCAAGTCCCACATCTGGCTCCCTGCTAAGTGGGAAGTCTGCTTCTCCCTCTCCCCCTCCCCCCGGCTTGTGCTCTCACTCTCTCTCTCAAATGAATAAAATCTTTAAAAAGAGAGAGAGAGCTGGGAAAGACTTGCTAACCACTATGTTGGGTCTGTCAGGGCAAGAAAGTGGAGAGACAAGAATGGATGAAGAGAATTCATGGCTCAGGGTTCAGAGACCAATGTCGGTTGTTTCCTGTCTAAGCCCTTACTCACCCAATGTCTCTTTCTTTTGGCAGCCCTCTCTGGGAGATGGTGCAGGATGGCATTGACCTCAAGAGCATCAAGTGGACCCAACACTAGAAGAGTGAGCCTCTGACTTTGTGCTGACCTCGCTTCTCCTGCCTCACCAACCCATGCACATCTGGATACCTTGTTATACCCAGTGGGTATTTCATGTTCAAACCAGAATTGGTGTAGCCCAGTTGACTTCAGCATCAGCCCACCGTCAGACTAAGATAGAAACACAAGAATACTATCTTTCCTGAGCCTCAGCTCCTTTGGTGGGGAACACTCACCATTTCTCTCCAGGAGTCCTTCTCTGGTCTTACGGTGAATGGATGTTCTTGGTGGGGAAAGCCAGAGGAACTGGAAGAAGGTTCTTTGTTCAGAGACCTCAGTGCTCTATGTGGACATTTGAATTGTTGCTTACTACTGTTCAGCAAGACTAATTCCTTCAGGAACACGCATAATCGACTACTATTTAATTTCTTTTTTGGCTCCAAAGCCCACCTCTTCATGTTGATTATAGACTGACAGCAAGTTTCTTAGAAGGCTTGTCTACTGTTCTTGCCCCCCCTTATTTTTTTTGACCTAATGGAGCTAGAAATATCTATATGACTCCACCTACTATTCTAATACTTTGTTTCTTTTTAAAAATTGTTAATTTGCAGATTAGAGAAATAAAATCACCTTCCTGTATTTAATTTGTGACTTCATGAAAGTCTCAGAGAAAATTCCAGCCTGTGGTTGGGAATCAGGAACAAACTACCACTCCACCGGATTCCCATAAATGACTTTTTAAGGAGGTGTTACATAAGCAAAAACATGATTTCCAGCCATGGAAAGAACTAGAGATGAATGAGAAATGAAAAGGAGCTGGAAGAATAAAGGGCCTGAGGTTTAAAAAGGCATGATGTGTTTGAGAAACCAGTAGGCTAATATAGCTAGAGTAGTTCTTCCATTTGTGGGTCTGACACTATAGGTGAATAGTTACCAGCACTAAAAAAAGCAAGAGAAAAAAATTGAGTACATCACACATATTTTAAGTAGTTTGCTTGCTTATTTATTTATTTATTTATGAATAAGTAGGCTGTACAACAAGCGTGTAGCCCAAACCTCTGACCTTGAGATCAAGAGTCAGACGCTTAACCCACTGAGCCACCCAGGCACCCCTTATTTATTTATTTTTAAGTAATCTCTACATCCATGTGGGGTCCAACCTTCAACCCTGAGATCAAGAGTCACGTGTTCCACTGACTGAGCCAGCCAGGCGCCCCTTAAGCATTTTATTTTGATTTTATATTTGAATGTGTGTGTATACCTGGTTGCAAATGTATTATGTGAGTGATGGTCAAAAAAGTTTGAAAGCTACTAGCTAGAAGTATGGTAAATGCAGATGGATGGGGGAGGAGGTTTTTAAACAATTTTTTTAATTTGAATAATTTTAGATATAAAGTTTGCAAAGATAGTACAGAGTTAGATGTCCATCACCCAATTTCTTCTAATTTGAACATCTAATATAAAACTCCCATGGTATATTTGTCAAAACTAAGAGATTAACATCTGTACATTACTAACTTTAGATTTAATTCCGATTTCACCAGTTTTCTCACTAATGCCCCTTTTCTATTTCAGGAGCCAATCTTGGATACAACATTGCATTTAGTAGGTTTTGTTTTCAGTGCACTGTACTATACTTGCAAAGAGTATATATAACAAAGTATAGGTTCAGTTTAAAAAGGTGGCCTGGGGGGCGCCTGGGTGGCTCAGTCAGTTAAGCATCTACCTTCAGCTCAGGTCATGATCCCAGGTCCTAGGATCGAGCCCCACGTCGGGCTCCTTGCTCAGCAGGAAGCCTGCTTCTCCCTCTCCCTCTGCCTGCCACTCCCCCTGCTTGTGCTCTCTCTCTCTCTGTCAAATAAATAAAATCTTTAAAAAAAAAAGTGGCCTGGTTTTCTAATTTGCTGTTTTTGGCATACGGGGCTAGCACCAGGCAAGTCTACCACACAAGTCTTCCCCAAAAGTTGTTGTGGGAACTTAGTCCCTGATTTTCTTGCTCACTTGTCTCCTCACTTTCTGATTTGGAAGATAGTTTAATTTTGGTGATAGTCATCATGTTGTTCAAAACCGGGCTCTGTGCTCCAGAGCTGAAATAGAACGCAAAGGTAGAGATTTGGGCTTAAGAGGAAAGACAGTTTTATTACTTCCAGGCAAAAGAGGCTGCAGCAAGCTAATGCCTTCAAAACTGCAGCCTTGCTCTGTGTAAAAGGCTGAGGGGTTTATAGGAAAATACAGGGTCTGGGCGGTTTGGATAGAAATCTGATAGTACTGCCAGCCCTATTGGTTATGTCTTCAGAATGGTTTCATGACTAATGCTGGCAATGGCCATCTGAGTCTCATTCCTAAGTATACTTTGAGGTAAGCAAGATGTCAACATTGATGTGCAGTTCCTGGAACAAAGGATTCTACAGAAAAACAAGTGAAGGGAAGAGAGAAGCTCTAAGAATGAGGAAGAGTGGGGGGGGTAATTGTTCAGTTTAAGGTCAGTCTTGGGGTGCCTGGGTGGCTCAGTCGTTAAACGTCTGCCTTTGGCTCAGGTCATGATCTCAGGGTCCTGGGATCGAGCCCCGCATGGGGCTCCCCGCTCCCTGGGAAGCCTGCTTCTCCCACTCCTACTCCCCCTGCTTGTGTTCCTTCTCTCGCTGTGTCTCTCTCTGTCAAATAAATAAATAAAATCTTTAAAAGAAAATAAAGTCAGTCTTGCTGAAGCATTAATGTGTCCATCTTAATTTCCATCCATCTTTACGTTTCTATAGCGGCTTCCATCATGGTAACAGGGTTTAGGCAGGGGGAGTGGAGTCTGGGAAGCTAGGACCACAGAAGCATGAGTAATTTTTAAAAAATATTTTACTTATTTTTTGACAGAGAGAGACACAGTGAGAGAGGGAACACAAGCAGGGGGAGTGGGAGAGGGAGAAGCAGGCTTCCCGCAGAGCAAGGAGCCCGATGCGGGGCTCGATCCTGGGATCATGACCTGAGCCGAAGGCCGACGCTTAACGACTGAGCCACCCAGGCGCCCCAAGAGTAATTTTTTTAATAATAGAACAATACTAAAGTGCAACCATGGAGGGGTTAATGAGGACTGTTGGGGTGGGGGGCGCCTGGGTGGCTCAGTCCTTAAGCGTCTGCCTTCAGCTCAGGGTGAAATCCCAGGGTCCTGGGATGGAGCCCCGCATCGGGCTCCCTGCTCAGCAAGAAGCCTGCCTCTCCCTCTCCCACTCCCCGTTTGTGTCCCCTCTCTCGCTATGTCTCTGTCAAATAAATAAATAAAATACTTAAAAAAAAAAAAGAGGACTGGTGGGTAAGGCTCCCTGGACTGAAATTTTTAAATGGGAAAAAATAGCAGGTTTCGGTTCTGCCAAGGCATCATCAACAAAACCGTGCACTACTTTGTGGGCCATTTCATCCCCAAAACAATCACGCGAAGAAGGCACTATTTATTCCCTTTCGCATAAGATTGAAGAAAAGTAACTAGCACAAAGTCCCGCAGGGAGGGGCCGAACCACACACTCTGAGCCGAACCACACACTCTGAACCCAACCCACCCCGCAGCGTCACTCTCCTTAGGCGGGGTTAGTGCGCAAACGCCGCACGCACAGACTCAAAGTTCCCCTCGCCACAAATACCCGCAACTTCCGGAAGATTGCCCAACAACCTCAGCGCGCTTGCGCCACCCCGCCCCGTGACGTCTCCATTCCGTCCCTCCCCTTCTGGAACGCGGAGCCGCTGAGCGGGCTGTCGGCCATTTTGTGAAGCGGCGAAAGAGGTGGTGGCTGCTGTGGGCTCCGGGAAGCCGTTCGGGCTGGGGCTGTCGGCCGCGGGGCGGAGGCACTCGCGCGGGGGGTAACTCGGGTCTGGGTTCGGGTGCCGCGCAGCTCTCCCCGGTAAGACTCCCGCAGCCCGGAACGGGCGGGGCTGTGCGGGGCTCGAGCCGCCCCTTGGTGGCCCGGGGCGGGGCTTTCGGAGGCCTCCGAGCCCGCCGCAGCAAGCGCCCCACACAAAAGGGTCGCGGCATGGCTGCGGGGGGGCCTGGGGAGCCGCTTGCGCCTTTGAAGCCTGAGAGGATGCAGGAAGGACGCAAGAGAGGATCAGCCTGCATACCGAAGTGGGGACGAGGCCAAAGGGAGGACGCCCCCGTGGTCTGAGAGGGAGGAGGCCACAGCTGGGTGGCCCAGCGGCCTACGAACTAACGGGGATTGCAGTAAAAACACACCTACCTCCCGAATGAGCGAGATTTTCTATGCTTCCCAAAAGGGACAGAGATTGTAACTACATCTCTGTGCCCCGTAGTGAGGAGATAAACGTAGTGAAGACACTCCCTCCATCGGAAGTGGAAAGGAGGCTCCTGTGGCCTAACAGGAAAAGGGGACTAGAGTCTGGACACACCTGTGGGGAGGAAGCTGCAGTCGGTACACTCCTGTGAGTCTAGGAAGGAAGTCTGAGAACTGGCCGCCTTCGTGGTCTGAAGGTGGAGGGGGTTGCAGGGAAATGCTTCCAAGGCTCAGCGCTGGGCGGGGTTTATCCTCGAGGGTGTCGGCGATTTGAGAAGCCGGCCTCTGTTGTGAGAAAGGGGGTGAGTACGCCTCCCAAACCTCTGAGAATAGTAGTTAAGATGCCAGGCCCTGGATTCCCAAGCAGGGAAGGAGCTGCAAAGAGCAGCACCTTTACATATCGCTTGGGAGACAGCCTCCAGCACTGAAAGAGGAGCAGGCCCAATAGGAGGTGGAGGGTGGGTGCTTTCGATCAGTGAAGGAGTTTTCTTTAGTGGAGGCTGGAGGTTTTAGTTGGCAGCCACGTGAAATAGGTGGGTGGGGCTTCGAGAATCTACAGTTGGTGTTGGGGATGGACACCAGTGCAGGAGGCTTAGCTGCCAGATTGTAAATACATGGACTTCATGTGTACCTGTAATGTGTACTTTATAGTGAAAAATATCAGCGGCTCCGGGGAAGATAACTTTGGGTTATTCAGCACAAAACATGCTGGGAGTTTTGTGCGCTGACTTGCAGGTTCCGTAGGAGAGGTTTCTGGACTCAAACTGTCCTTGACTCCTGGATTTCCAGAGATGATTTAATGTAAATTATGGTAGTCAGGAACCATTCCGTATTATTCAAGAATAGTGTAATTCCAGTCAGTATAACCTGAGAAAAAATGTAATTGGAGCTGAGGGATTGTTGAAGGAGGGACTTGTGACTGGAGTGTTCTTAGAGCTGCTTGCTTGAATGGTTTAAAATCGTGTAGTTTTTGTAAAATGCAGTATTAGTAAAATGAATTGCATTGGACTTTGTTACCTAGTTTATATTGTTAGTATTTCGGAGCATTTGCTGTTCAAAAATGTCCTACAGGTCTGGACATACGGGCTGATTTTTTTTTGTTTTATAGAAATGTAATACAAAACTGGTTGTACTCGTTTTTGAAATTTGGTGGTTTTGACCGAATAGACCATTTCTGGATTTAGTGGGAAGTAATTGTGTTCAGGCATTTTCCAAGAATATTAAAAAGTTGGGAAGAACTGCTACAGGTGGTTAAAATAATTTTATGGTAATTTTTTAAGAAAATGAAATGTTTGGCGTGTTTATATAAAGGTTGAGGACGTGCTCAGTATTATTGCTGGGAAATTTTTTAACGAAACAGGGAATGCATATTATATCATCTTTATATGCTCGATTAAATACTTATTTTGTTTATGGATTGTAATGCATAATTTGTGTTTGTGTTCATATCTGTTAGGTGAAAAATGTGAAGCTTTAGAAACCATTGTGGTAGTTACTTGGAACCTATCGTTATGTGCTAATATCAGCATACTTCTGGCTTCTTTCACTTTCTTGTGACATGCCAAATGTTTTGATGATTGCATATTGAGAGTTTGGGGGTTGTTGGTACGGTTTTTAGATGTGAAACTTGATTTTGTGGACCAGTGTGTGTTCCAGGTGCTGGAATCCAGTGACAATGTTCAAAACGTTTTTATTCCATTTTGTAGAGAGCCACTCCCATCTTTTGGTTTAGCTGAATATTTTCTTCTATAGATGTTGTAGAAAGAATTTCTAAATGTCAGTAACTGCACAAAAGATGCTCTTAGATATCTCTCTCTAAAATCTAGGGACTGTCGTCCATTTCTATATCTCCTGTCCCGGCCACAAGTCCTTAATAAATGTTTGTAGTATAAATGAATGTTGTTAAATGTTTAGGTCAACTAAGCAGAAAAATAACTTGATCTAATTTATAGTTTATCAGATTTTACTACCACCACTCATATACCTTTTGGTTTGCAACGAGTTTATTTCATTAAGTTTCAAGCAACCTTTTAAGTCTTAAGACCAACAGTGAGGGTGAATATGGTTGGCTAGGTTAGAAGTGATATTGTTGCTTTTAAGTTTAAATCAAGATAATGAACATATTTGTTGGCATTTGTGGGGGGGGATTGAAAAATAATATTACAGTCTTTTTGGCAGGAAGACTATATATCTTACTTAGAAATGTCTTTTGGTTTGCCACTTTTGAGAACTTTCTGGAGGTTAATGGGAAAGTTGAGTAATGAGCTGTCTAAAGGATTCATGTCCCTCAGTGTCAGAAGAATTGTTTCGTTAAGAATGATCCCAGAATCTGAAATGTGATTCATTTGGGGATGGGGACAAAATCAAGTGGATGAAGCTGTGTTTTTTTCCATAATGCCTACCATAATATGATTATGCGGCTTATAGCATTGTGCCCATTATGATTGGTTCTCTGTTGCTCATCTCTGAGGTGACTATTTGAGGGGTGCTGGTTTTTGTATTTTTTCAATCTAAAGAACTTAGCTCTGCTGTACCCTGGTTATTGTTGACTAAAGACTGACAACTGAACAAAGTTAAAATTCACTTTTTGATGTTTATCACCAGATGAAGAGTGGAAACGATTAAGTGCAACTGATTTGTGCTTTGACTTCCTGTTAAAAGAGGATTGTTGTCAGACATTTTACTCTGAAATTCCAAGTGATTGAAATGACTAGTAAATAAGAAAATATGCCGTGTCATAATAATATGCTAAATGTTCATAGCAGATATTTGTAATTTGTTCGTGTATCGTATTTCTTTAGCTGAAGCAAAGCCACTATGTTAGGACTAAGTCCTAACAAAGTGGAAAAGTATACTAGAGCAACCTTTTGTTTTAAGATCTTCTGAAATATATCAGTGAATTTAATGGCAAATCAGGCCCATTTTCTCCTTTGTACCTTTATGCTTTACAAATAGGTAAAACGTGTTTTAGATTGTTTTTGTTGCATAGAACTGTTTCAGTCTTAATCCTTCTAAAATTCACCAAGTCTTAAGGTGGTTGGAATGGATTTTTCATTTTGGGATCCTGCATTCTGTTGCTAGCTGACATTTAGAACACAGGAATGAGTAGTTCCTGGAGAACAGTGGTGCCTCTATTAAATTATTGTGCTCTTTACAAAGTGAGGTGTTGAAAACAAAAGTACTACTTCAGTTCTCAGTTTCTATTTACTTTGTCCATTCAAGGGAGAAGTGTAACACCAAGAGTTATGAAGTTCTAGTTTCTAGCCTGAACTTTCTGCATACTTTTCTTTGGTATGGGTTGATGTGGGCCTTCCCCTTTGCTTAAATAGAAAAGATTCATGAGTTTATTTCAAGATTGATTTTGTACTTTAAATTGAACAACGTAAAATTTGAGGCATTTGCCGAATTCAGCTGGAACGTCAACTTTTTCTTGTGGAATGAGATTTTCCTTCTTGTTATAGTAATTTCTGGCAGCCGTTTAGAAATTTTTGATAGTAGGTCTAGTGTGTTCCCTTTGGGCGTAACTGGCTGACTTTAAACTTGTTCATATCCAGATGGACATTTGGAGGCTTCTTGGGTCTGGAAGGGAAGAGGCTGAGGAACCTGTTTCCCTTACCTTCAGGGCATATATCCTGGCCCCATACCAGACCTTTTGAATTGTAATCTCCAGTGGGGGATCATCTGTGAATCATAAATGCTTAACTAGAAAACTGTGGTTCTGTTGGTTATAGAGTCAAACTTGTACGTTTAGAAAATATTATAAAATTCATGCTCTTCCTCTATGCTCTTGAGCATAACCTTTACCTAAAAGCAGGCTTTTTTGTGTGTTTCATGTTTCCCTTTGTGACCTGTTAGATAAACTTCTAGGTGTGGCTTTTAAATAAAGAGTTTTAAAACTCTTTAGACCTAATTAGAACTGATTTGTACAACACATAAAAAATTAATACAGTGCTCTGGGCTTTTGAAAGCATTGCTTTTGACATGTGCGTAGCTTTTGTGACAAAACAATCTCACTCTTCAGTAATTTGAGTAGTTGTCTAGAAGATGTTTAGCTTGTCCTTTAGAAAAAAATTGGAGTAACACTAAAATTTTTTAATATGTTTTACTTTTTGGTGATGAATATTAAGCTCACAGGTGGTATCTCGAACTTGAAAGATAGTTAAAAATGAGCATCGTTCTAAGTAGTGTTCTGTTGGTAATCTTGATACTTAACCAGTGATGATTTTCTTGTTTCTCTGAATTAAAAAATGATCTTTTTGAATGTAGTTGTTTAATTATTTGGTCTTATATATTGCTTGTGAATTGTTCACAACTTCACCAATTTGGGAGAAATTCCAGTAAGAGATGAGTGACTCATTTTTACTTTGGGGAGTCTTCTTAATATGCCAGACATTTTTAGGGAATTTTTTTTTTTTTTTTACAAGTTTCTTGGAATAGTTTTGGTGTTAGAAGGTAAAGAAAGCACTTTTCCTTAAGATTTCGAACCCCAGTGGTTTTAAATAGGAATTAATCATTATAGCCTGAGCTTTCACTTCATTTATGTTTCTCAATGCTTGATGCTATTTTGGTACAAAGGAAAATATTTTGAAAGAGCAATTGCAAGAATTTCCATAAGTACCCTTGAATTGATGGCTTTGTCTTTTGTCTTAGAACTGTTTATGTGTGAACTTGTGCTTTTTCATCAAGTGTTTGGTGGGACCTGAGGAAATAGGTTGTAGTTGGACTTGTATTAATGGAATTTTCTGGACTGGTTTAATCAAGTGATAAAAAGTAATTACCAGGTGTGAAGCTGAGCTTTATGACTGTTTTAGTTTTTAATTGATTTCATTCTTGGACTAATTTATGGCACATTCTTGATGTATGTAAATATATAATGTTTTGAGAAATACTCAAATTTGAAAGCAATACCAAGTAACAAGTATGTGTGGGATTTTGGTACATGTGGTTTCTTTCTTTCTTTCCTTCTGTTTTTTTAATATGCATTCTAATGAAGTACTCCGTGGTGGTTTCAGACTCGCCTTCATAATATACAGTTCAGTGTGGCCTGTGCGTGTTGTTTTGTGTTTCCTGCATTGATTTTTGCCTCCGTTTATTCTCTATTGCAGTCTAAAAGTTGGTTTTAATTGGTTGCCCACAGGATTGACTTGGCCTCTACTTCTTGTTAAGAAAATACATCTCTTGTTTTATCAGGTAAGAGATTTTGAATAGAGGGTTTGTTTTTATACAAAATAAAATGAGACAGCTTATTTAGTAACATGAAAATATGTGTAGTAACTGAATTGTGGGGGATTTTCTTTTTCTTTTTTTTTAACAGTCTTATCTGAGGGATGGGGGTGGGGTGGACTGGGTGCCTTGAACAGTCGTTGCTTTCTTCGGGGTTCAGTTTTATATGGATGCATTTCTTCTGCTGAATTCCTGATTATTAGGCAGTAAGCTGTTTTTTTCCCTCAGGGTAGCATTCCAGACTCATTACAAATATAGGTGCTTGTTATTGGTATGGTTTTTTAATATTCCTTAGAGGTAAAGGTGTAGATAATGGGTCATATGTTTTAGAGTACCTATTTTGACTTTAGATGGAACTTTAGTGATTGGAATCTAACCCTCTTGTTAAATAACAAAGGTAGGCTCAAGATAGTTGAAATGACTTACCTGTCAAACAGGCACTTAGTAGAAGAATAGCATATCTTATTTCATATTTTTTCAGAACCTAAAAACTTTTCTCTTTAGATGGCTCTATGAATAACTCTTGTGTTCTTTGGTTTAATCCTCAGCCCTTTTCTAGCTGGTAATCTGGGCAGATTTTTCAATATCATGATTTCATTTGTACCTTGTGCAGACTTCACTAAAGCCCTTCTCTTAGTAGCAGATGGTTTTTTGAGAATTACTGTGTCTCTTTAGCCCTGTGTTTAATTTTTGTGTTCTTGGGACTATATTAAATTCCCATTTTACTGTCCCAGTGCAAACTAACATCTCTCTATCTTTCAAGTGTTTGGGTGCCTAGATTACTTACCCATGATTGAGTGATTAAGTGATCAAGCATTTTTTTGAAGTTGAACAGGAATGCTGTCTTAATTTTGCATGTAGCCAATATGCTACAGACAGTAGGGAATGAGAATTTGATTTAATGTCTTGAAATCTCGATGAGCTTCCATATAGACTGCTAAATAGTCGTAAATAAGAAGAAAAGAGTTTGTTGGTGTGATTTTTTTTTTTTTAGTATTAATTTTTCTTGTTGACTCTTGCAAACCAAAAAGGAAAAGCTTCCCTCCTCCCCCAAATTTCTAGTGTTTTATAATGGTCTCATAAAGAGCATTTTCTGTTTGCCAGTCCATCTTCATTAAATTTGAAAGTGGCTTTTATTTTTGTGTATGTGTGTGAGAAAACTATCAAAGCCAAACAGTACATTTCTGTTTTGTGTACAGCAGTCATATTGGTTGAGATATAATTACAGATTTTGTTTTATCAAATTAATATTCACACAATATTTGACATTGAAAAACTGCTTTTGTGGAGTTACAGGATTCTTAGAGCTTGCAGTAGCTCTTTTAATGTTCCTGTTTGGGAAGTGATAAAACCAAAGCTCGAATCATTTATAATTTTTCTGAGGTCACAGAACTGGTTTAATAGGTTTATATTTAAAAGTTGATTTTTTTTTAAATTTTATTTATTTGTCAGAGAGAGAGAGAGCACAAGCAGGGAGAGCAGCAGGCAGAGGGAGAAGCAGGCTCCCCTGCACTCTGTCCCAGGACCCTGGGATCATGACCTGAGCCAAAGGCAGCCACTTAACTGACTGAGCCACCCAGGTGTCCGTTAAAGTTGATTTTTTTTTTTTTAAGATTTTATTTATTTATTTATTTTTATTTTATTTTATTTTATTTTTAAAGATTTTATTTATTTATTTGAGAGAGAGAGAATGAGAGATAGAGAGCACGAGAGGGAAGAGGGTCAGAGGGAGAAGCAGACTCCCCGCTGAGCAGGGAGCCCGATGTGGGACTCGAGAGTCCCGGGACTCCAGGATCATGACCTGAGCCGAAGGCAGTCGCTTAACCAACTGAGCCACCCAGGCGCCCCAAGATTTTATTTATTTATTCATGAGAGACACAGAGAGAGAAGCAGAGGGAGAAGCAGGCTCCCAAGGAGCAGGGAGCCCGATGCGGGACTCGATCCCAGGACCCTGGGATCATGACCTGAGCCGAAGGCAGACGCTTAACCATCTGAGCCACCCAGGCGCCCGTAAAAGTTGATTTTTAAGATGACTTGGAAAACACCCCATGTTGCTGATCACATAAATTTCAAGTTAATATTTTTTCCAGTCCCAAGAATTTGTTTTATATCACTTTACAAAGGGCTTCCCTTGCATTTGCTCTTGGAAGCCATAACAACTGAAATACTGAAATTTTATTTAAATCTGGGAGAAACTTCTCCAAAAGAGAAAGTTCAGAATGGGACTTTATTTAAGGAGACCAGTGAGCTTCCAGAAATACCACAGGAGTTATATTGAGTAAAGACTGTAACAGTCACTGAATAAAGTTCATACCCTTGTTCTTTTTTAAAACAAAAGCAAAACCAAAAAATACCCTTTTTTCGTTATCAGCCTTCTTTGGGAAAAACGAGACTTTTTTGAGTGTGTATGTGTGTTTCTTTTTTTTAATGGTGAGTTTGGAAATAAGTCATTGGATCTGAGTTTTAATTAAAACAGCTATGGTGAATGGCACTGCAACCAGGTTCTACTTTTTGGAGTGATGAATATAGATAACTAAGATTTGGGCTATTTTATTCAGTATTTCTTTTGGATTCTTTGTATGTATTAACCTTGTCTGTAATAAATAATTCCATATATAGTTTTCTTTAATAAATAGAGCTGTAATGCAGATTGAAGAGTTTTAGGTTGAGTATGGAATCCATTCTCTTTTGAGACTTGAGTCTACTTTAGTGTTAAGTATTATTTGTAATTCATTAGTATTCCAGTTTTCTGTTTCTGTTTTGCATTTTGAGATTGAGTCATATAAAATGACACTGATAATTCTACAAAGTTGTCATGTTTATAAGGAAAATGCTAAGCCACTTTTAAATACTAACTTTGATACATCCTTTGCATGTTTTTCCCCTGCAGATTGTTCAACTTTGTGTCCTGATTTGACTTACACATTTCTTTTAAACCTTACTGAATAATTAGTGGTCTGAATGATGTAATTGGTGATTCTACTTCTTATGGTGGTTTTTTCCCCCTGAAACTTTTGAGTCATGGGACTGAACTTCTAATTGTTTACAGAATTAATGCCTTTTGGAAGTTGAAATTGTCTAGGTTTTACATTGTAAATGGCACATAATGTTCAGTTTTTAGGATATTCAAATAAAAAAAACCTGCATTGCTTGTGATAGTTTGAGGGTATATTTGAGGGCCTAATATGGTAGCTGGTCATTCTTGTAGTTAAAAACTTGGTGTGATAAACAGGAGTCTGACCTGGCCGTTGCCTTTTCTCATCTGCAGGTGTGTGTGGTTTCAGCGCAGCATGGCTGTGGTCATCCGTTTGCAAGGTCTCCCAATTGTGGCGGGGACCATGGACATTCGCCACTTCTTCTCTGGATTGACCATCCCTGATGGGGGCGTGCATATTGTAGGGGGTGAACTGGGTGAGGCTTTCATCGTTTTTGCCACTGATGAAGATGCAAGGCTTGGTATGATGCGCACAGGTGGTACAATTAAAGGGTCAAAAGTAACACTTTTGTTGAGTAGTAAAACGGAAATGCAGAATATGATTGAACTGAGTCGTAGGCGTTTTGAAACTGCCAACTTAGATATACCACCAGCAAATGCTAGTAGATCAGGACCGCCACCTAGCTCAGGAATGAGTGGAAGGGTAAACTTGCCTACAACAGTACCTAACTTTAATAATCCTTCACCCAGTGTAGTTACTGCCGCCACATCTGTTCATGAAAGCAACAAAAACATACAGACATTTTCCACAGCCAGCATAGGAACGGCTCCTCCAAATATGGGGGCTTCATTTGGGAGCCCAACGTTTAGCTCAACCATTCCGAGCACAGCGTCTCCAATGAACACAGTCCCACCACCACCAATTCCTCCAATCCCAGCGATGCCATCTTTGCCACCAATGCCGTCCATTCCCCCAATACCAGTTCCTCCTCCGGTACCTACATTGCCTCCCGTGCCTCCTGTGCCCCCTATTCCCCCAGTCCCTTCTGTGCCACCCATGACCCCACTGCCACCCATGTCTGGCATGCCACCCTTGAACCCGCCACCTGTGGCACCTCTACCTGCTGGAATGAATGGCTCTGGAGCACCTATGAATCTGAACAATAACCTGAACCCTGTGTTTCTGGGTCCATTGAATCCTGTTAACCCTATCCAGATGAACTCTCAAAGCAGTGTGAAACCACTTCCCATCAACCCCGATGATCTGTATGTCAGTGTGCATGGAATGCCCTTTTCTGCAATGGAAAATGATGTCAGAGATTTTTTCCATGGGCTCCGTGTTGATGCAGTGCATTTGTTGAAAGATCATGTAGGTCGAAATAATGGGAACGGATTGGTTAAGTTTCTCTCCCCTCAAGATACATTTGAAGCTTTGAAACGAAACAGAATGCTGATGATTCAACGCTATGTGGAAGTTAGTCCTGCCACAGAGAGACAGTGGGTAGCTGCTGGAGGCCATATCACTTTTAAGCAAAGTATAGGACCTTCTGGACAAACCCATCCCCCTCCTCAGACACTTCCCAGGTCAAAATCGCCCAGTGGGCAGAAAAGGTCAAGGTCAAGATCACCACATGAGGCTGGTTTTTGTGTTTACTTGAAAGGGCTACCATTTGAAGCGGAAAATAAACATGTCATTGATTTTTTTAAAAAGTTGGATATTGTGGAAGATAGTATTTATATTGCTTATGGACCCAATGGGAAAGCAACTGGTGAAGGCTTCGTAGAATTCAGGAATGAGGCTGACTATAAGGCTGCTCTCTGTCGTCATAAACAATACATGGGCAATCGCTTTATTCAAGTTCATCCAATTACTAAGAAAGGTATGCTAGAAAAGATAGATATGATTCGTAAAAGACTGCAGAACTTCAGCTATGACCAGAGGGAAATGATGTTAAATCCGGAGGGGGATGTCAGCTCTGCCAAAGTCTGTGCTCACATAACAAATATACCATTCAGCATTACCAAGATGGATGTTCTTCAGTTCCTAGAAGGAATCCCAGTGGATGAAAATGCTGTACATGTTCTTGTTGATAACAATGGGCAAGGTCTAGGACAGGCATTGGTTCAGTTTAAAAATGAAGATGATGCACGTAAGTCTGAACGCTTACACCGTAAAAAACTTAATGGGAGAGAAGCTTTTGTTCATGTAGTTACTCTAGAAGATATGAGAGAGATTGAAAAAAATCCCCCTGCCCAAGGAAAAAAAGGGTTAAAGATGCCTGTGCCAGGTAATCCTCCAGTTCCAGGAATGCCCAGTGTGGGAATGCCCAGTGCGGGAATGCCCAGTGCAGGAATGCCCGGTGCGGGAATGCCCGGTGCGGGAATGCCTGGTACGGGAATGCCCGGTGCGGGAATGCCCGGTGCGGGAATGCCCGGTGCAGGAGGTGAAGAGCATGCCTTCCTGACTGTAGGATCTAAGGAGGCCAGCAATGGGCCTCCATTTAACTTTCCTGGTAATTTTGGTGGGTCGAATGCCTTTGGGCCACCACTCCCTCCTCCAGGATTAGGAGGGGCCTTTGGTGATGCTAGGCCTGGTATGCCTTCAGTTGGAAATAGTGGTTTGCCTGGTCTAGGACTGGATGTTCCAGGTTTTGGAGGTGGACCAAATAATTTAAGTGGGCCAGGATTTGGAGGAGGCCCTCAGAATTTTGGAAATGGCCCTGGTAGTTTAGGTGGCCCCCCTGGCTTTGGAAGTGGCCCTCCTGGTCTTGGAAGTGCCCCTGGGCATTTGAGTGGGCCACCAGCCTTTGGGCCTGGGCCTGGGCCTGGCCCTGGCCCAATTCACATTGGTGGTCCCCCTGGCTTTGGATCTAGTTCTGGAAAACCAGGACCAACAGTAATTAAAGTGCAGAATATGCCCTTCACTGTGTCTATTGATGAGATTCTAGATTTCTTTTATGGCTATCAAGTGATCCCAGGCTCAGTGTGTTTAAAATACAATGAAAAAGGTATGCCCACAGGCGAAGCCATGGTGGCCTTCGAATCTCGGGATGAAGCCACAGCTGCTGTCATTGACTTAAATGACAGACCTATAGGCTCAAGGAAAGTAAAACTTGTCTTAGGGTAGCTGTTCACATCAATTCTTTATAGGGTAGATTTTCATAGTGCTGTGATTAATGCATCCAGATTGTTTTCCTAGTATTTCCAGGTTAGAACCTGTGGATTGTTTCAATTGCATATAGATTGGTTTCTATAACATAGAGCATTGGTTGACTGTTTACAGAAGACTCACTACCAGGATAAATACTGCTGTATGTTACAGTAAAGCTGTCTGGAGAGAACACAAAAATGATTTTGGCGTACCATTAGAGAAACCATTTGTAAAACACAAATGACCACATAAAGCTTATCAAGGAGTTTAGATTGGTTTTGTTTTATACCATATGGGATGAAGAAAATAGAAATGTCAATAGAGCTCATTAAGGGTGCTCTTGCCAGCTGCTGAAAAATAGAAGTTGGCTACTCTTGGAATTTGGTTTAAAGCTGGACAGATTTGCTTTGTTATAGGGTCAAAGCTTTGTCTAAAGTCCTCATTTTCTTTTAAAATTGAATAAAATCTCTGTATACAGATTCACTGTATGTACCTTTATTGCTTCTTGAGGGTTCTTGCTGTATAGACAGTCCTGCTTCTGAAGTTGCTGCTTTTTTGTTTGCCTAATTGACTCATTTGTAAATGAGCAGAACTGTTTTGTTGTTGTTGTTGTTTTAATATAAAACTCCACACTTGGTTTGTGCTATAACCTTGAACTTTGATTTCTAATGTCACACTTAAAACTGTGTGAAATAAGTACTTTTGCCACAAAAATAAAATATGGAGTCCTCTACCTACCAGAGCCTTTTTGGTTTGACCGCCATGTTTTAGTTTAGTCAGTTTAAAAATTGTTCATGTTGTTTAGATGGCATTGAAAACCAGATACTACTTCTAATAATCATTGTTTAAGATGCCAGATTTGAAGTCCTGTCCATGATGGACTAATGTTTTGGCAATTTCCTTCTGTCCCAAATTTGTGTGAAATTTTGGCCTGTAACTAAACAAAGAGGGTCCATTTATAAGAAAGAGCATTATATTTAGGTTTTTTAAAAACTGAAGTTGAAATTGTTAGCTTTGTTAGTAGTAGTGTTATAGAATAAAAGACTCATAAGCTTTTCCATAGATGTGCATTTAATCCTGTTACTTGGAGGCTTTTTGGTCTAGTTGTTTGATCAGGAGCCTGTTCATAAAAATTCTTCATACAGAGTACAAGTGCAGCTGCCAGAGGGGAGAGAATTGAGACTCCTTGCCCTTTCATACTCTTCTTTGGTATTCAGGACACTAAGGCAGGAGGACCACATGGGTTCTGGTTGGTAAGTGTCCTTGTCATGAAAACATTTGCCTTACAACATCCTGCTCACTGCTACAAAAGGCTCTACTTATGGTTACTTTCCTTCTTAGTTAAAATGCTCTAAAGATGTGTCACATTATATTATAAACATATGGAATGGGAGATTGGTGAGATATCATGAAAAACAAATTTTGTCTTTTACATGGGCCTCTGTCTTGGTTTGAAATATCCCCAACATTTCCTGCAAATCAATGTACTTACAAAGGGGTCAGCCTTTTAAAAGAAGTATTTCCTATTAAAGAAAATAGTGCCTTTTTGGTGTTGCAAGTTAGTGGAACACTGAAATACAGCGTCTCGTGTAATTTAGAGTTAAGAGTGGCAGCAGTTTCATTGCGTGATAAGATTTGGAAAGCCTTTTCATCACTACAATCTTAGAGGATTGACAGTACAGGATTTTTTGTTTAGGGAAAGGATTGTTTAGACTTTCAAAGAAGACATGGCTGTGTTGTGGGTCTTTTGACAATTCATGAATACAAATTTGCTTTGACAGATCACTAGATATTGCCTCCTCAACTAAAAAAGCAATATGATGTTTATATATGCTGTTCAATTAAGTTTTCTGTTAAGTAATCATTTCTCATTCCAAAGACCAAGTGCAGAAAACTTCAGCGCTGCTTGGGAGTCTTATTTCAACTGCAGATTATTTTCCCATTGGAGAGCTGACTATTTTCATTTTAGAAAAATGGGTTGTTTGAAGATGAAAGCCTTTTATCTTTTTTCACAGTTTATTTTGGTTATATGTTCGTACAATCTTATTAAATATTTCATATACTTTATTGCAACTACTTTGTTATTTCTACATCTTAGATAAATGCTGAAAAGGAAAACTTGATTTCATTGTTCATCAAATTAAATAAATTAAGAAAATAGTGGTTTGTGTAGAATTTGGAGAGAACTATGTTTCATATTTGGTTGAGTCACAACAGTGCTTCTCTCGTGAAATGTAATTAAATGCTTTGCCCTCTGGAACTTGATTTTTGTGTATCTGAGACTTATTAATAGAGTGCTAACTGCTAAGCGTACTGTTCATCTTG